CCTCGCGACGCGAAACGCGCCCTGCCGCCTGCCAAGGACCCCGATCTCGGCCAATACTCGACGCAACGCTACGAGATCGTCTCCGGAAATTACGCGGATGCGTTCAGGCTGTCCCAACATCGAGGTCGCGATGGCGTTCTCTACTTGGATCTGCAAAACTCCGGGTCGTTGGATCGCGAGGCTCGCTCTCGGTATCATCTGGTGATAGAGGCGTTGGATGGTGGCGCTCCGCCGCTTCGCTCGAGGCTACACGTGAACGTGACGGTACAGGACGTAAATGACAATCCGCCGATTTTCAATCAGACGAGGTACGTCGCCAGCATTGCGGAGAATGCGACCGTCGGGACGCCGGTACTCGCGGTGAACGCGACAGACAGCGACGCTGGTGACAACGGCCGCATAGAGTATTCGATTAATCGGCGACAATCGGATCGCGAGGAGATGTTTCGTATCGACCCAGAGACTGGCATGGTTTACGTGAACAAGGCGTTAGATTTCGAATCGAAGGAGCGACACGAGCTAGTGATCGTTGCTCGTGATCGCGGCGCCCAGCCTCTCGAGGCGAGCGCGTTTCTCTCGGTTCGCGTGACCGACGTGAACGACAATCAACCCGCTATTACTGTGATCTTCCTGTCAGATGATGCGACACCGAAAATCAGCGAGAGCGCCCAGCCGGGTGAATTCGTCGCTAGGATATCGGTCAGCGATCCGGATTCGAGGACCGAATATTCGAACGCTACCGTCACGTTGACCGGCGGCGAGGGACACTTTGGCCTGGCTACCAGAGACAACATTATATACTTGGTGGTGGTCGAGAGGCCGCTCGACCGTGAGGAAAAGCCCGTTTACGATCTCTCTGTGGAAGCGACCGACGCGGGAACACCTCCGTTGCGAGCCGTTCGAACTTTTCGTCTTGTCGTCACGGACGTGAATGACAACGCTCCGAAATTCGGCCGGGAAAGATACGAAGCCCATCTGTTGGAGGCCTCGGAACCGGGTACTCCGGTTCTGAAGGTAACGGCCACGGATCTCGACGAAGGTGCCAACTCCGCCATCAAGTATTCTCTTCTCAATTCCACGTGGTTCGTTATCGACGAAACGTCCGGTTTGATATCAACGCGGACTCACGTTGACTGCGAAGCCGACCCTGCGCCGATTTTAGTAGTGATCGCCACCGACTCGGGTCGTCCGCCGTTAAGTAGCAGCGCGACAGTGCGCGTTACCGTCCATGACCTCAACGACAACGAGCCCATCTTCGAGAAGCCGCTGTATAACGCGACCGTATCGGAGGATATGCCCGTTGGCTCCTGCTTTCTCAAGGTAAGACAATCCTCTTTGTTCGTTCGTTTGCACGAATCGCATCGCGTTACGTAACCTTCGGCGATATCGTAAGTACCGCCGTATATTTACTTACGTAGTATGCACCGTTGATCGTTCGGCAGGATAATTGATCTGTCATCGCGTCGACACCGATCGACGACGAATTCCTGCGCGAAACATACCGCGCGAATCGATAGCGTCGAATGGCACAACGTGTCTCTGATCGGTGAAAGCCACACGATTCCCAATAGGTTCGTGTGTTGTTTAATCGTTGCACAAATCGACTGAACGTTTTGCGTAAAGTTGCTTCTCGGCGCGAAGCTGCCACTATGTTGCAAAAGGTTTCTGGTAAATGTGCGAATCGGCCGAAAGGGCACTGGTCGCGCCGCGAGCCACGTATTCGCTTTACACTGGGAAACTCGTAATTGGAATCGCGTCGCGCATGAAAGGTTTTCTCCGTCGCCCTCTAGCAATTAGCAGGGAACCGTGTATATCGGATAGAAAATATTCTCGACGACACGCGATCGATCGATGTTCTTCGTTCGACGCTGGACGCTTGCGTGGGCGCTATCGTGATCGACGGTTCGCGGTTCCAAACTGTCGGACGATGGCACGGAACCGAAATAAACCCGCGTGCACGTTTATTGGCATGCGACGCGCGTTCTATTGTGCGTTTGCCACTGTGAGCCACACAAAGAATATGCGTACCAGCACGACGAGGAAACGTGAGAAGATGAATGAGAAAAGGCTAGCGTATTGTACGAATATCGAGAGAGAGCTCGAAAAGTACGCGTTGCTCGACGATTCTAGTAGCGGCTAGTAGCAGCTAGTAGTGGCTGCTGGCAATGGCGAACGCTCGGAGAACACACGTGCCAGGGACGCGTTCCACTTGCGCAGGGAAACCTGTTGCGAGAGTTTTCTTTGTGGCAGCGGCGAGATGCTCTTCCCCGAAGCGGTGTTAGGCCAAGAACAAGTTGCTCTCGACACCGAGGTTGCTTTACGAGCAGAGCGTCTTCGCGATCGGTATACCTGCACGGTGTGCAATTACCGATCTTCGAAGCTGGCGTAACACGCGTGCGCGCTCCAAACAACCGAGAAACGATCCAGTTCTAGACCCTCGATGCAGGCAAACTAGCTCGGGCTATCGGGCATTCGCGAGGTGCGAGCTCGTCGTGCATTTCTGAAATTTAAGACGAATCGACGACGTGCCGTGGCCACGAAACGGATTACGCGCTTGGTCGCTCACGAGAGGTCGAGGGCGGGCACGGACGCGAGCGCGCGCCTTATCTGTTGATCCTTTTTAAGGACGATCGTCTTACATTTGGCGTAATCGTTGACAGTAATACTATATCTATATTTTCGTTCGCTTAAGATAACGAAATTGTTACGCGCTTCTGCGGTTTGTCTAACCAAGGATCGCTGCAGACAACCGAGCCATTCTTTCCGCTCGATCGAAATCTCCTACGTTCTACTGCAAATTTTACGCGTCAAACACCGAACGTGACGACTCTTTACGCGATAAACTCGGGCGATCGCATTTGCAACGCTTCGAGATTCGCAAGACCGCGGCGAGATAATCGTTACCGGTGCCGCTGTTGGTGCTGCGACGAAGCGTCTGTCGTTCATAACGTTCATGATCCGTGTTGGTCGTGTGGATACGAGAAACACGAACGACAGAGAAACGGAGGAATGGGAGCGATAAAGAAGGGCAGGAAGCTACGGCATTGCGGCGACAAGGGAAGAGAAAGGGAATAAAAAGAGGAGAAAAATCCTTCCCTCGATCTCCTCCCTCTCACAAGCGACTGTCCATCTGACTGAGCGAAACTAGTGCCTTCTTTTTTCTTCAATTGGATTGTCATCCGCATTCGAGGGGGAAGCGGTGAATGCTCATGCCGGTGTGCACCAAATGCCGAATGCCGATGGAAATTGAGAGGAATAAACTACTACGTTTTTCAATTGGGTGGTAGACCGCGTGTACACTACTGTACAGTGTACACGGACGTATTCGGTAGGCGGCCGGATACACGTGCACGCACCGCGACCCAATCTTAACGTCTGCTCCAAACTTTCGTACGATATATATTTTATCGGTGTTTCGTTGCCTAGTTCAATGATGATTTATAATTGTTGCCCGCTCAACTGTAATTATTATAATTATAGATTTTTCGTCGGCCTCTCCCACCCGTCTTTCGAACCCGAACCGGCCGCTTCTTTTCGCTCCATCCCCTTTCGTACCAGCTCCACCCCTTTGGTTCTTCGCCTTCTTTTCTCTCGTTTGTTCCTTCTCGTAACCTCGCATGTTTCACCTTTCCTCTCTATCCGATGTTTGTCTTGTTTCTCTACTCGGTTCGAACAGCGAGGAGAGACCAGACATACATACATACATACATACATATGTATATGCGTATGTACGTTCTCCCTATGTAACTCGAAAACGGGTTTCGAAAGAACCCCACCGATGCCGCGAATCGAATCCATTCGCGTTTCCCACACGCAATTCACCCCTTTCCGTTCGTCTTCCCCAACGGAGAGAGGAACGATTCTCCTCTCTCCGTTTAAATTGTCTCGATACTATTAGCGCCCCGCTAAGATTCTGAACTGTTGGATTCCACCGTATCGGTTCGGCGAGCTTGGCCCTTTCTCCGCTTGCGTTTGCACGCGCGTAAATAGGCGCTACGCTCGTATGAGAGACCGTGCGCGTTCGTGCGCGAAACTATTCGCATCCATCGGCCGAGTATCCGTCTTTCTATACTACGTGGCAGGTCACGGGTCCGATTCATCTTCCTGCAAGCCTTCCATTATCCGTCCTAACTGGCAACCGAGGATCATTAAACCGCGGATCCTTTTGTCCGACTTTGCGTCCAGCCTTTTTTTTCAAGGACGGACGAGAAGGGAAATACTGGTCAGCAGGATTATACCGTTGTACCGCGTTTCGATATTTTTCGTGGGCGAGAGAGAGCCACGCGACTTGGAGGATCGATGGGTGAACGGAAACGGCACGACTGGTCTGTAAAGGGGAAGTTAGGATAGGGCGATCGGGAAGATGGCCAAGTTGCATCGGCGGATGGATCGCGTTTCTAGAGGTAAAAGATGCGCGCACGACGACGGTGCATCGGTCAGCCGGTATACATCGTGTATCGCGGTACAAAGTGATGACCGTAATGACTCTAACCACCGTCTGACATCTGGCATTAGGCACTCGAGCTTTCGAGTGGCAACGCCCGCAGCAATTGTTGCCGTTTACGACTGCCGTGCACGCTCTCCTCTGTCTCCTTCTCTTCTTTTCACTTCTCTTCTCTTCTCTTTTCTTCGCCTCAGAATGTTTCGCGTTTGTGTCCGCGCCCGCGCACTCCATCGTCCTCGTCCGCCGGCTCTTCTCGCTCTTTCCTCGTCTCTCTGTCCGACGTCGTCGTCTTTCTTCTTGTTTCTCTGGCCGCGCTCTGCTCGCTCGTCCGCTCTCGATCCTACGCGCTATAGACCGCATTCCCGAGTGCAACGACGAGGCAGAGATATATGTATATGCATTCGCGTGCACCGGTCGGTGCAGCCACCGCGCGCGGCTGCTCTCGCTCTCGCATCGCGCTACATTGCGATCGCGGTTCTATACTCCGAGCGCTTCTACTTCGCCGCGCTATGAACAACCACACGGTTCTTCTCTTTTGCTCCTTTTATTCCTCGTCGTTTAGGATTGTATCCAATCATAAGCGTGCTTCTTCCTTTTTCTCGCTTTTTTAATTGCCGTTTCACTGGCCGAAGCGACGCCGCGCCGCACCGTGGACGCCATGCACGAGAACGTTTCCCCTTGATCTACGCTATACGAATCTGGTGTCACGCGTACTCGCGACTAGCAAATACGCTGGATATCTTTCCGCCATCGTTCGTCCCTCGTCACGCATTTTCTTCGCTTTCGATTTTTGTCCCATCTCACGACTCGTGAAATTGCGTAACCGGCGCGTAATTGTGCCACCAAGGTTTTCTCTGCGTGCCATTCTTCGACTCCGTTTCTGGAATAATAGAGATCGGAGTCGTCGAGAAAATGCTTTACCTCTCACCGAATGAAAACACGATGGTTAGCTTCGCGGATCGCGTAGCTTCAGGACGTTAGAAAGTCGTCGGCGTGGTAACGAGCGAGAATCTATGCGGAGGACGAGATCGGGAATCGATCGGGAAGAAGAACGGGAATCGTGGGTAATCGTGTGACAATGGGAAACGAGATCGCTAGGACATCGTACGAGGAATCGTAGTTATTTTCTCGTAGCTGCGAATGGAACGAGCTCGGAGAAACGAGCATGTTGGTTATCAAGTTTCTCGTATGTTCCTGGATTACTCAACGTTCTCTTCCTCTGTTAGTGGGTGGTGAGCTACGAGACGATCGCGCGCGACCGTTTGTCCTCGCGGTTTCCATCGAGCAAACAGATTCTCGCAGAAGCTGCCTTACGGTGTTTTGTAGCTTAACAAGAACGGCTACAAAGTGCAAGTCGCATACCGATGAATACGATGACGAATTCCCCATCGCGAGTCTGCATCGGCTTCTCCGTATGTACGTATGTATGTGTGTATGTGTGTATGTATGTACCATGCACGTGCCCTTTGATACTCTAGTTGCTCGTGTGTTTTTTCGATCGTAGGACATCGTACGTTGCTCACAGGTAAAATCGTCGCCTTGTTCGTTTTCAGATTCCTCAAATGCGATCCTGTCAGCGTTGTTTACCCACGCGATTTATCGGATACGACACCACTGTTTTTACCGTCGACGTATCTTCCTTATCTCTCTTTCGGTGGATATCGCGCATCGCGTAAGCGTCTCGCAATTTTTCATCGATTCGAGGATTTTCGTTAAACTGATCTGTTACTTGCGTTTTCACGCGTTTCTCGAAGTCTCTACAGGACGACGCGATAATACGGCGCGATACCTGTTGTAACGTTCAACCGGCTAAAAATGATTCAATAAGACGCTATCGCGTGGCGTTTTACAGTCGCGAGAAATGTTGCTTTCTCCG